ATATATATATATATATATATATATATATATATATATATATATATATAAATATAAATATAATATAAAGCTACATCTGTGTGTACATTCACTTAGGCATAATAGACAAAATTCGTTTCCTTTTGTACATCCTTAGCGTGTTAACTCTACGTGTTATGGTCCGCGTGGCACGGGGTGGCAGTATCTTATGGCAGAGAGATTGGTGAGACAGCACCGACTGTCCGTGCGTCTTTTGGCAGACATTGTTTAAACATATCCTTGCGTTCGCCGAGTTCTTGTTCGACGAGAGTGTCTCAGAAACGAAAATCTTTCTCAATATACGCTTTCAACAGTTGATCACGCTGTTAACCATTCATTCTGCTGTTAAATATTAATTTGTCGTTGTCTAATTGATTCGCTGTTGAACGTTAATTATGCTGTTGAACATTAATTATGTCGTTGAACATTAACTATGCTGTTGAATGTCAAATGTATTATCGACTAATTAATTCGCTGTGGGACGTTAATTATGCTGTTGAACATTACTTGTGCTGTTGAACGTAAATTATGTCGTTGAATATTAATACCATCAAATCTTAATTATGCTGTTAAACATTAGCAATGCTGCTAAAATTAATTACGCTCTTAAAGAACGTTCGTTAAATGGAATCTTCGACACTCGCGTCGCGAGACCTCGACCACGCCAAGAACAATTAATCTACGCTCGATCTACGGTATCTAAGAACCAGAAAATTATAAAACAAAGGCGAAGGCAGTGTTAGAGAATGAATCGCGACCATGCACAGCTACGTTCTATATAAAACAGAAGAACAAAAACATAATTATTTGGCAGTGGAACGACGCAAGTCTGGCGATATTTCTGAACACAAATTTCATACGTCCGTAGGACTTATCGTAATTCTCGGAAACGGAATCATTTCTCGTTCGTAATACTCTCGGCCTAGCGTATTATTACACTCTCGTTCACCGTTTCGATCGCGTCGTTTCGGTGGTCGTACCGTGGAAACGTGGAAATTGACTAATTCGAACCGAAGCATACTGTCCGAAGCGTTACTCGGTCACTATCAAGTGAATCCTGAACGTGAGAGGCCTCTCCCAGACTTCGTTCTCCTCGGTGGTGTCGTTTCTCGAGCGGCCGTGGATGACCAACCGGAAGTGGCCGGGTTCCTTCATCCTGCTGCGGAAATGGAGGGCCCAGACGCCGTGCTCCTTCACGATTTGGAAGTGGTTGTCCTTGTCGCCGTGTGCTATCGTGTACTCGATGTTCTCGTCCTGCAAACGAACGTTAATTAATCGATAAGAATCTCGCACGAAGCGAAATTAACCAATAAAAATCTCGTCCTGTAAACGAACAAAAATGAACCAGTAAGAATCTCATCGAATGAACAAACGGAAATTAACCAATGAGAACATCAATTAACATTAATCAATAAGAACAATAACCATGTCTCATTAGATTGCAGGTCTTTATGCGAAATAAAAATTGTCTGCATTGATTGCAAGATGCAGGAAGTTAATAGATAATTATTTCTTTTCTTAAACAGTTTAACGAGTTGAACGTAATACCACAGTGTCTTTAAATTGTTTAAATCTTTTCACAGTTTTCAAATTCATCTACTAATTTTTATCTGATCAAGAGTAATAAGAAAACTTCACTGAAGTTTTAACTCACTCGCTCACTCAGTTTAACTCACTTTTCGTGTCGTTTATCTCAATATGGTATTTAGGAAATAGCTGGTACTTCTATTTATTCACTTAATTATTATAATTAAATTAATTAAGTATCGTTAGATCATATTTAACAGGACATTAGATAAAATGAGAACCTTAACAGCCGGCTGGAGTTTCACGATTCTCATTCGGTGCCTCGTCTGCATCAAGCTGATCTCGAGGACGTATTCCTCGCCGTGATGGTGTCTCTTCGCAGTCCCCGCGAATCGCCTCTTCGTGATCTCACTTTGTTCCATCGAATTCAATCGAGCGCCTCTTCTGTGTCTTCCGTTGCCGTTGATCTATTCAAAGAACATTATTTGATACTTTTGTCTCGGTTGTTTTCATTGAAAAGCATTTGGTATTGTGAAATGGCACCTTGCAAGAGAAGCAACCTTCTGTAGATATCGTCTTATTATCCGCCAGCGGTATGTGATAAGGATCCGGATTGATGACGAAGGTAGGAGCATTGCTGATGTCTTCGCCGTAACGTCCTTGTGATAGAGGATTTATGGTCGACAAGCAATGGCCCTGTGACATTAAAGTTAACACTTGTTAAATTCTTCAAATTATAATTCACTCTTGGGTTTATTAGAAAAAAGTGGGAAATTGATCAAATGTATTTTCGAAAATTATTCTCTACGATTACGCACCTGTCCGATTCGTTGATAACCCGACGGACATCCGCAGATGAAGCCGCTCGCGCCATTCGGGGTGCATCCGAATGCACAGGGGCTGCCGAGGCACCCTGCACTCACCTGCAACCATTTAATTCATCATCTTTATTCAACCTAAATAATTGCAATTTTTGCAACTCAATCAATAATAATGTCTACGAATAGACTATACTTATACACATTTACAGAATCTGTAAATTTATAAAATATAAATGCATGCAATATAAATAAATACTGCACAGAACTTACGAAGCTGCGAAAGATTAGTTATAAATTGAAGTATCACCTGCACACAAATTTGCAATTTAGTATCGAACTGATAACCATCGGGGCAGCCGCACTTGAAGCTACCAATCGTGTTGATGCAAGTGTTGTCTCCACAGGGAGATCCACTGCACTCGTTCTCGTCGATGCACTGATTATAGAAAAGATGCTGAACGAATCCGTCGGGACACCCGCAACGATAGCTTCCCATATAATTCTACGAATTCAATCAAATAAAGGAATGTCCCCGATTTTTTATCGTGTAATCGTAAATAGTATACCTGACAGCCGTGTTCACAAGTACTGTCATCGGCACATTCGTTCTGATCGATGCAGAACCTGCCACTTGTATCCAACTTGAACCCTCTAGGACATATGCACCGGAAACTGCCGAGAGTGTTGATGCAAGTGCCTGGCTTGGGGCACGTTCCTGGCTGTTCGCACTCGTTTATGTCTGCAATAACGTAACGCCACATTTTTAAACATTTCTCTGTACTAAAATCATTAATCAGGACAAATAAAGTATTATTCAATTGATAATCATTTCAATTTCTCTGAATTTGTCTATCAAAATTTTAATTTATCTATCAAAATTTTAATTTGTCTACCAAGATATTGATTTGTCTATCGAACTTTTAATTTGTTTATTTTTAATTTGTCTATCAAACTTTTAATTTGCGTAACAGCTTTAAATTGTCCACAAAGATTTTAATTAGCATGAAAATTAGCCGTTTAGAGATCACGAACCAAGACAAGTGTCGCCATCCTGGTTGTAGCCCTCCTGGCAGCCGCAAGTATAGCTTCCCTGAGTGTTGATGCAGTTCTGTTGACACAGGTGATTTCCAGTGGAACATTCGTCCAAGTCCCTGCAGCTGACGCCATCAGGATTGAGGATGAAGCCAGCGGGACAAGAACAAGTGAAGCCTCCCTCTGTGTTCTGGCAATTATACTTGCACGGCTTCGGGGTCAACTCGCACTCGTTTATGTCTACAATTGCATAAAGCGAATTTAAAACATCGGGCTGTATTCGAATTATATAAAAATGTTTCGTCGACGCTTTTCAATTTATTCTCCTGTCTCAATATAAATTACTTACCAACACATTGAGTTCCAGATCTGTCAGGCTTGTAGCCCTTGTTGCAAACGCATCTGTACGAGCCCAGCGTGTTGATGCACAAACCGTTCTTGCACAAGTCTGGGATCGTTCTGCATTCGTCGATATCTTAAACAAATTTGTTTACCGTATTTATGTACAGTCCTCAGTAAGTTCTGTGGACTTTACGTACTTATGAAATGTGTGATTGAGAGACGAAACAAATAATTATTAAATCTATTTCTTGAGATTAAGGATGCGAATCTTAATTTCGCATTAAATTTCCAATTTGTAAATATTTCGATTCTTCTCACTTAAAGTTACATGTCAAATTTTAACAAATTAAATCAATCAGTACCTTGTCCATCCACGGAGAAACCTTTGTCCAAGCAAAGCTCGTTATAGTTATCAGAGTCCTTCGAGGGGCAAATTTCGCAATGTGGACCCCAAGCGGTTCCCATAGTGCAACAGCAATCCGCCTTAGTCACCGTCTTCAAATCGGAAGTCCTCGCAGTGCATCTTCCACCGATTGTTTGCAGGAAACAGTACCCTACTCTACGATCTATCGAAAAATCGAAATGAAAATTCTCGTTATTTTCTTGTTGTGCAATTTTTGTTATTCAATTATCAATATTTTTGGCTTATTCACCTATGCAAGATTTTCCATCAGCGCTCTGCTGGAAACCCTCGTAACAATGGCACTGATAACTGCCTTCCGTGTTCATGCATCGACCGTTTCGACACAGACCGGAGTTGATCGCGCATTCGTTGACGTCCTTGCACTCGTCTGTCATGCCTATCTGCTGGTATCCAGGTGGGCAGATGCACATGAACGTGCCGATTAAATTCTTGCACTGGTACTTGCAGTTGTTCGCTGGTGTCGCGCACTCGTCCACGTCTGCAGACAATTAAAACTGTTAACGACATCTTTCCACGGCGAACTTGTGCATTTCTGTAACTGTTCGTCACACATTTATATGTTCTTTTGTTGGTAACTATATTTCCTTGAACTGATAAATAAAATATTGTATAAAGCCTGTAAAGACAATGCTTAAAAGATTCTACATAACATGGCTTTTGTTGGTAACTATATTTCCTTGAACTGATAAATAAAATATTGTATAAAGCCTATAAAGACAATGCTTAAAAGATTCTACATAACATGGCTTTTGTTGGTAACTACATTTCTTTGAACTGATAAATAAAATATTGTATAAAGCCTGTAAAGACTTATAACTTGTCATTCATTAGATAAATAAATTACGATTTGCGAAAAGAAAATTTTAATACGACATTAAGAAGTTGGCTTAATACGTTTTTCTAGCATTTGGTATTTTTCTAAAGCACAATTACCAATTACCAATTACCACTAGTAACAAATATACATTTATGAGAAAAAATATGAATGAAATACAGAACCTTGAACATACTAGAAAAATTTTACAACAGTGTCATACTAATCCCGACTTGATAAAATTATTAAAAGATTTTTTAATTCATTATTTAATCGAAATTTCCATTTCGGTTTTTTACAGTCAACTCGGCACGTTATTATTTTGCACGAAGATCCGCAGCCCGGTAGACAGCAGATCCCAACTGAAAAACATAAAGCGTACCTATACAATGTCGTCCGTCAGGAGCAAGCGTGTATCCATAAGGACAAATGCACCTGAAGGAGCCAGGTACATTGTGGCACCTGAACGCGCACTGGTTGCCAAGTTCCAGGCACTCGTTCACGTCCTCGCAGACCTGGTTCACTCCGGGAGTGAATCCGTCGTTGCAAGAACACTCGAAGCCGCCGTTAATGTTGATACAGGTTCCATTCCCGCAAATGTTCTGAACAGCTAAACACTCGTTATTGTCGATGCAGTGTCTGCCGGTGGCGTCCAGGACGTATCCTGAAGGACACTCGCACCGGAAGGAGCCGTCGGTGTTAATACATTCGCCACCGGAACAGACATCCGGCATGACGAGACACTCGTTCAGGTCGATTCCGGTGTCGTCCCTGCCTGGACCCTCGGGGCACAGTCTTCTGAACTCCTCTGAATAAAAGATAATAAATTGCTCGATGGTAAAAATGATCATTGTCATCGTTTATTAACCGATTTACACCCGAAAGCGTAATTATATCGAAGATTATATCAATTTATTAAATTATTAAAATTTATTCAATTTCTTCATATATATATATATATATATATATATATATATATATATTCTCTTTGTATATTCTTTAAATGCAGCATTTTTATAAAATATATTATTTAATAAAGCTATTTTTCACGAGAGAGAGAGAGAGAGAGAGAGAGAGAGAGAGAGAGAGAGAGTATACTCACCGCGAATATATATAAATTCTCTTTGTATATTCTTTAAATGCAGCACTTTTATAAAATACATAATTTAATAAAGCTATTTTTCACGAGAAAGAGAGAGAGAGAGAGAGAGAGAGAGAGAGAGTACACTCGCCGCGAAGAAATGCCACGATTTTATGTTATGACATGTATACTCGTCGAAAACAGCTGACTGGTTAAAATCGGTGATAATTAATTAATTGGCGATAATTGAGAAACATCGCGCGCAGGTGCAAATTGGTTAATGAAATACCAGTCGCTGAGAGACTCACCGCTGTTCTCAGGAGGACACTGCTCGCAGTACCTTCCCCAAGCCTTGCCCATGGTGCAGCAACAATGTTTCTTTGTCATCCCGCTCTTTCGGGGGTAGGAGCACCGTCCTCGCACGAAGCTATCGTAACAGGATTCTTCTCTCACGTCGATGCATCGCATCGAGTTAGGTCTGTCGCTTAATTTGTAGCCGACTGGACACTCGCAGATCACGCCGCCTTCTGTGTTCAGACAGCGACCGTTCTCGCAGATACCTGGCGTCTCCACGCACTCGTCGATGTCTATCGTCAATTTCAATGATCGCTTGAATTTGGATCTGCACAATTTATTGTATAATATTTTGACGAAGTCATTGGTTTACCTACCAACGCACGCTTTTCTTGTGTGGTCCAGCTCGTAACCCGGCGGACAGGTGCAGATGTAGGAACCCATCAGATTCTGGCATTTCCCTGGTGCTGGACAGAGTCCAGGTATCTGCAACAATTGATGGATCTTTTTAATACATTCGTCAATTAGTAGAACTGCGCTGAGCTGTTAGCCGAAGCTCTATCGGAAAATCTGTATTTTATGTGTTTATTGTATATATTGAATAGTATATATACAATACTATAATATTTCTAACATACACAATTTAAACACATTTGCAAAAAATGTTGCGTGTTGGCCGATAATAGGTACAGCTCAGTGCAAAATAATAATGAATTATTGGCACGTTACACACGGATACGCGTGAGTGAATTGCAGATAATACTGCACGCGGTCATTAACTATTTAGCATTTGTAATGGACTCTCTTCGTGATGTGATCGGTTTCGTATACTCGCGAACAGATTGTAATAGTTTATGCGAACGATGTGCGTTTTTAACAGCATATTTACGGAGCATAAGAAACAGCTGTTTTATATTAGTTTATAAAAGTAACAATGAGAGATTTATTCTGATTTTGAACAAGTGTTATTGTAACATTCGCGTAAGTAACATATAAACTGAATGAATAACTCATAAACGTATCTTTAATAATAATCGTAAATTAAAGGATTTGACGGGTCCCGTAAATCTAATGTTAATAATATTAAGAATTGATTAACTCACCTCGTGACACTCGTCGATGTCTCTGCAATGCTGGCCATCCTGTGCCAGCACATAGCCGTCAGCGCATTCGCAATTGAAAGCACCGATTGTGTTTCTGCATCTCCCGTTACGGCACAAGAATGGCATGATTCGACACTCGTCGATATCTGTTCCAAAATGTCCACGTTTTACACCATTATTATTAAATGAAAACAATAGGTACAATATCTACAATAACAAGCGAAGGTGTCTGGAAGAATATTTGTCAACAATCGCATCCACAGTGTTAAACATAGCGGGGCGGAAAAATTTAAACACTCGGGTACCGTTGTTATTCGCAAATACTTAAGATGAAAATTACTATTCATTCATCTTTTCTTTGACTTTCGTCAACTTCGACTCACCGGCGCAATCATTGTTAGGGCTCAGCTTGAATCCCTGGTAGCAGATGCACTTGTACGATCCCAGAGCGTTGATGCAGCTTCCGTTGTTGCAGATGTTAGGGTTGCGCTGACACTCGTCGATGTCCATGCAGTTGTCCCTGTCCCTGGTCAGAGCGAAGCCGGTGTGACAGATGCACTGGAAGCTGCCTTGCAGATTGTTGCAGGCGCCGTTGTTGCAAATGCCGGATCTCTCGTAGCACTCGTCGATGTCCACGCAATCTCGTTGACTGAGACCGAGCTTGTACCCGGCCGGACAGATGCACTCGAAGTAGCCCTGCTTGTTTATGCACTGCGCGTTTCCGCTGCAAGGGTTCGGCACCTTGGAACAAACGCGGAACAACATTTATGTCGAGACGCAGTTATCGCTTAGTATAAAAATTATTGTACAATCAATTTAGTATAAAGATCGTTGTAGAAGCAATTTAGCATAAAATAAATATAAAAACAATTTTGTGTAAAATAAATGTAAAAACGATTTAGCCTAAGATAAATATAAAAACAATTTAGTATCGAAATCATTGTAAAATCAATTTAACATCAAATAAATATAAAATCAATTTAGCATAAAATAAATATAAAATCAATTTAGCATAAAATAAATATAAAAACAATTTAGTATCGAAATCATTGTAAAATCAATTTAACATCAAATAAATATAAAAACAATTTAGCATAGAATAAATGTAAAATCAAGTTAGCATAAAATAAATATAAAATCAATTCAGCATAAAATAAATATAGAACCAATTTAACATAAAATCATTAGCACGAAAAGTTCCATAAAGTCAGAACGACTTATGTAACGAAACCGAAATTGCAGTGTTAAAGTCTATTTTCAATGATTACTTCTTTAATTCTGTCGCTGTACCTGCAGACACTCGTTCTCATCGATACACTGATGCGAATCCTCGTCGTAGACGTATCCCCGGTCGCACTGGCACTCGAAGCTGCCAGGAGTGTTCATGCAGCGACCATGAGTGCACATCGTTGGCATCAGTTCGCATTCGTCGATCTCCTCGGTATGATTAGTGATCGGATTCTTGATTTGTCCTGGCACCATGCCGCACAGTATCTCATGTTCACCTTCAAAAATAGTTCAATCTTGTCAGAAAAATTCTACACTCTTCCTAGCTTGAATCAATTATCCGATATTTTTAATTCATTATTTATAATTCATTAATCACTTAATATTAATGATAAAACGGTCAGAATTCTTTTACGGTGTAATTCAATTCTTTGTAACTCTTTAATTAGTTACAAAATGGTCAGAATTATTTTGCGGTCCAATTTAATTCTTTATAATTCATTAATGACTTTAAAAATGATCAGAGTTCCTTTGCTTAACGAATGTAATAAGACTTGTTCTTACGTGTCCTTTCAGCAGGACACCTCTCGCAAGGACTCCCCCAAGCAGCCCCCATGGAGCAGCAACACAACATTTTCGTCTGCGAATGCATCATAGGATTGACACACCTGCCATCCTCGTAGTCCAGGTAACAAGACTCCTTTCGCATGTCCACGCACTCCTCTGTCGATGCAAGCAATTCGATTATCATTCAATTTACCGAACGATATGATTCGATGGAAATCGAAGTTACATTCACGTACTTCCTCCTGGCATGATCATGTATCCCTCCGGGCACTCGCAATGGTACTTTCCCTGATCGTTGATGCAGTATCCCACGCCGCAGATGTGTGGATGCAGTGCGCACTCGTCCAGGTCTGCAAAAAGGCACCGACTTGCAACATTATTCGAGCGAATGCATAATTCGAATCCGATTTAAAACAGTAGAGAGACTCAAAGAAATTGTTTCGATTTTTATTCGATTATTCTTCCAACTCGCTGAAGTTATTATTATAATTTATTATCATAGTATATTATTATTGCTGCATGTCGAGAATCAACCGCAAAGATTGCAGCGCGATCGAAGTAATTTAATCAATGAAATTGAAACTAGAAAACTGAAATTTATTATACTGGATGGTACTTTAACTCTTTTCCATTTTAAACGTCCCTCTAAAATTCAGTTCGTTCGAACATGTTACAATGAAAGTGAATTTTGGAAACCACTCGAAAATTTCTTCTGCTTCATGCAATTAGGAAAATTTTTATTTCACATAAAATTTCAGACTATTGATTACGAGTCCATTCTTGCTTAGAAGCTTCGTAATAAATTTTCTAGCTTCTATAAAATGTCTGATACGAAAATTTTGATTTCTGCTGTCTCCAACGAAGCCTTAACATAATAATAACGAAGCCATTTTGTTGCCGAACAAGATTCTCGAATTTTACTTGAAACAGTCGCGAATAAAAGTTGACATTCGAAACATTTTCTGGCGATTACCGATGCAGTTGGTCTTGGACTCGTCCAAGATGAATCCCTCGCTGCAGGAGCACATGAAGCTGCCGAACGTGTTCGTGCAGTGGCCATTTTGGCAGATGTTCTCGTGCTCCTCGCACTCGTTGATGTCCTCCAGGATCACGGTGACCGGATTGGGTCTGTAGCCGTATCCTCCGGGACACAACTCGTCGAATTCCTTCGTGCCAATCTGAGGACATTCCTCGCAGCGGTTTCCCCAAGCGTTGCCGATGCTGCAGCAACAGGTCGCTTTGGTCACCGAGGTGGACACGTCGAAGATGCACTGCGGTTTTCCGGTGCCTCGTACGAAGCCGATGAAGCAGAACGATTCTCGCCTGTCTGAGACGCAAAAATGCACGAGTACCATTATTTTGAATACTTTCATATTAGTGGCTGAGCAATCAGAGAGGCACGAGTTTTCGGTACCATTTTTTTAATGGCCCTACACATTGTCTTGCTTCTCTATTTTCTTGACACTCTTATTGACAAAAATATAACCGATCAGATCATTTTATTTATCAATTTTATCCAACGAAAGATGCAAAAAGTAAACTTTTATATTCGTCATTGTTGATCCGATCCGTGATACTCATAAAATGATCAAAAGTGTTAAAAACGTCTCCCGAAGAATACTCACCGACGCAAGCGTTCCCAGCTTCGACCAGCTCGTAATTAGGCGGACACTTGCACGTGTACTTGCCCTGGGTGTTGACGCAGGTGCCATACTGGCAGGACTGTGGGTTTTCGCACTCGTCGATGTCGGTGCAGTTGCCGCCGGATCCGTCCAGCGTGTAGCCGTCGTTGCACTCGCAACGGAACATGCCGAAGATGTTCTCGCATCTGCCGAACACGCACAGATTGCTGAACATCTCGCACTCGTTTATGTCGACGCAGGTTTGCTCGTTGTTCTCGTCCGGGTGCATGAAGCCCATCTCGCATTCACACCGGAAGGAGCCGGGGTAGTTGAGGCAGTGGCCGTTTTCGCAGAGGCTGTTGTCGTTTTCGCACTCGTCGATGTCCTTGCAGTCGTAGCCGTCGCCTCTGAACCCCGCGTCGCACACACACTGAAACGTTGAAGAATTTTTTTTAATATTTTTAACACATTTTTGCAGTTTACTAACAATTATATGGAAAAAGTAGCAGTTTTTTTTGTAACTTTTAATTCAATTTTTCGTGGAGAATTTTTGTGGCTCTTTGAAATGCAGAAATGCAAAAATGCGTAATTAGCAGCGATTTTACAGTAACAATTTCTATTTGACATGTTTGACAAGTGCAATTTATATTCGATAACTTTTAGATTTACTTTCTTAAATGTGTTAAAAATAATGGAGAGAATGCAACCATTTTTTCACAGTGACAATGATTAGAACTTTTTCGATTGTGATAATTTTTTAAATGGGAAAGAAAATGTATATTTATTGTTTGCCTATATTTACTCGAATGCTTAAATATTGATAACAAGAGAACAGAACTTTATTCGGACTTAAAAGAACGGAATAACATTCATACCTAACAAATTATTACAAGAAATCTCCATCACGAGTCAGACTCATTAAACTGCTTAAATTTATAAATAAATAATCTATAAAGTACTAAATAATGAATAAAGTACTAAATAATCTATAAATTACTGAATAATTTATACAGTACCAAATAATTTATAAAGTACCGAACAATCTATAAAGTACTAAATAATTTGTAATGTACTAAAAAATTGTCGATCATTCGAAAACAAGTTTTACTTTGAAAGATCCCTCGGTGTTGATGCACTGCGCATTAGAGTCGCAGCCGCCATTGTTGGTGAGACACTCGTTGATGTCTCTACATTCGACGCCATTTCCGACGAAGCCCTCGTGGCAGGTGCATTCGTAGGAACCGTGAGTGTTCCGACAATCTGCGAACTCGCTGCAGGAGTACGCGTTCAATAGACACTCGTCGTCGTCGGTGCAGCCAGGACTTGCTTCCGGTTTCACGGAGTATCCTTCCTCGCAACGACAGTTGAAGGAACCGACGGTGTTGTAACATTCGCCATAACCGCAGATGTTCGGCTGTGTGGTGCATTCGTCGACGTCTGACCAAAAACAAAACAAAACAAACATTTATATTGTACCTTCTTAACATAAATTTTCATCCATTTCTTTAGGAACGTTCTAAAGTTTTTATAACGATAGTTAAACTATACTAGATAATTCGTTCGAATGCAAAAATGTTGACAGTGACGAATCTGAGAAGTGAGAAAAGCTAGAAATAGCTTCTAGAGATGATTAATAAATAATAAATTCTTTTTCTTACCTACACAGGATGCGCCATCCTTGCCGGGTAATAATCCATCCGTGCAGCTGCATATATAGCCACCAGGGATGTTGCTGCATTTGCCTCCGTTACAGATGCGTGGATTCTCTTTGCACTCGTCGACGTCCACGCAGGAACGGCCGTCGAGATTCAGGGCGAAACCGGTGCTGTCGACAAAAATAAATGCAACGATTACTTTCCTTTTTATTCATGAGAGATTTACACATATCATATACATTATTGCTTAATAATAAATATCAAATTTAATCCTATTTATTATTGCTGAATTATGCTTAGTAAGCTAAGGGAATTTTTAAACAAAACTCCTTCATGTAGGAAGAATGATAATAGACAGCGGATTTTTATGCGGAGTGGAAATTATATGCAGATGTCGCAAATTCCAGGAGCTGCACACACATTTGTTTATTTTCTTAATCATTTCAACGAGTTCATATTAGCATTATTTCAAACAGCATTCTCAAAGTCTCAAGGTGTCCCGAAATTATGATATTTCCGAGAAACGAGGGGTTGCTGAGATCATTTGAAGCAACTGTTTCCTTAGCGAAAATGCAATCCGCGGCTTCGTTTACGAGTTATTAACGTAAAACACCGGCCAATGAGAGGTCATTGCTGTCGCTCCGCCACAGCGCGACGCGGCGTCGGCAACGAGGGCGGAGCGCCGGCCGCACTCGCACTCCGATTGGTCCGTGTTTTTCGTTAATAACTCGTAAACGAAACCGCGGATTGCATTTTCGCTGAGGAGAAAGTTACTTCGAATCACCTCAGGAACCTCTCATTTCCTGGAAGTACCATAATTTTGGCATTTGATTTACTGATTTTTGCTATAAATAGCAAACGAATATCCTAAATACACTCACCCGCAGGAGCAAGAGAAACTGCCAGGGGTGTTCAAGCAAATGTCCTCGCAGCCACCGTTCTTCATCGAGCATTCGTTTATGTCCTCGCAGTGAGACTTCAGTCCAGTTTGCTGGTAGCCATCGTCGCAAATGCACTGGTACGTTCCCATCATGTTCTCGCAGACGCCGTTCGAACAGATTCCGCTTGTTCTGGAGCACTCGTCGATGTCCTTGCAGGACTGCTTGTCAGGGCCTAGCTCGTGGCCTGGAGGACACTGGCATACGAAGCTGCCCTCGGTGTTGATGCAGGTGCCGCCTCGACATAGTCCTGGCGTCTCCTCGCATTCGTTGATGTCTGAAATTTCATTCGAATTCGTTTTGATCTGGCCTTTATCACATTTCCACAACCGAAGAATAAAATTGTCTGTCGATTTAAAAAGAATTAACGCATCATTTACCGGTGATTATTTTATAATTTCCGAATGTTTACAATTTACAGCTACATAAAAACTTCCTAATATATTTTTTAGCACTACTAATTATTTATTTATTCCTACTATGTTATTTATACTAATTTAATGCAACAAGTCGTTCCCAGTAACGTTATTTAATAATTTCTTTCCAGATTAACATCTGGAAAAAGATTGTTTAAATTTAATACATTTTTATACTATTGTTTATTTATAATAAACTGAAAACTTAATCAAGAGACTTCCGGTAGGCATAGTGTTAAAAACATTCATATTTAAAACATTCAGATTAGGTATAAGGTCTTCATCATAAGCCTGACTCGATGTTACAGTGCAAGGGCTTAATATTAATTTCTCAATCATTTAGAAAGAAAAACTTTGATGCCAAAATTTCGGCGAAAATGTTTATCGACAATCTGCTCACCCATGCATATTTTCATAATGTCGCTGCTTCGGTATCCAGAATTACAGTCGCACTGGAAATTGCCAGGGGTGTTCCTGCAGGTGCCATTCCCGCAGACCCCATGCATGATCTCGCACTCGTCGATGTCTGCGATAAAATCATCGAATTCACATTAATATTTCAGTCAGTTTTCGTTCAGTTAGCGTTTACTCTCTCTGATCTATGTTTTCACTTTGAAATTTTAGGACCATTTACAACGTACCATTGCACTTGATACCATGCTCATCCAACGCAAAGCCTTGGTTGCATTTGCAACTGTAACTGCCCACCGTGTTCTTGCATCTTCCGTTCAAGCACATCCCAGGAAACTCGATGCACTCGTTGATGTCGTGTTTGTCAGTAAAACCGTCTCCTCTGGGACACAGTTCGTTGTGAGCATGGGTGCCCGGTTTAGGGCAGGATTCGCATCTTTCGCTGCCCCATGCTCGGCCCACTGAACAACAGCAGAGACTCCTCGAAAATTGACCTTCTATGGGGTTCGCACATTGACCGTGACGGTACTCCATGTAGCAGGTCTCTTGTCTTGTGTCCACGCAGGTGGTATCTGGGAAATATTTAGCTTTCAGAGGAAGGTATATTCTTTTAAATAATAGCTGCGATAAGGCGAGTAGATAAGGTTCTGTATGTTAACCCTTTGCACTCTAATGGCAATAAAATTGGCATTTAATGATAAATTTGCCAATATAAAAATGACCAATAAAATTTGCCAAGTCATTTAAAACAATTTCTGCACAAATCTGTTGGTATTTAACAAACTTTGAGAAAAATCGAAAACAATAGGAATTTTCTAGGTCGAAAGAATTATCTGCATTCTGGAGTTAAAATATCTTCGAGTGCAAAGGTTGAGTGCAAAATATGTGATTGATGGAACATTTGATTCCGATTTAAAAATTAATTTGTACTCTAATCAATTACATCTCCCTAATTTCATTAGGATCTGCAAATCGTAAGGATGTTGAAAAAATAATCGATCTCATACAATTTAACTGTTTCATCTCGAGGTTTCATTCAGTAAAATACTTGAATTTTATGAAATTGTTCAGCATGTTGGCGTGACAGTCGAAGTGTTAACACAGTGTCCAACAGATAGAACTCACGAGTTGCGTCCAAAGTTAATCCAGGAGGGCACTCGCAACGGTATGATCCAACGGTGTTGACGCAGGTGCCGCCGCCTTTGCATATGCCGCTGTTCAATTCGCACTCGTTGACGTCGACGCACTCCTTCCCCCCGAATTTCGCGTATCCCCTTTTGCACTCGCACAGAGAGTGATCGCAAATTTCGCAAGGACTGCCCCAAGCAACTCCCACGGAACAGCAGCATTCCGATTTCAGTGCCAGTCGAGGCAAATTGTACTCGCAGCGACCGTCGATCATCTTTGTCCAGCAGCTACCTCTCCTATTGTCTGAAAAACAGATCAACAAAATGAGCATTTTAATCTGTTTTAATTCTGATAAAACTAGAATTCAAAATGCAGTATTTTCAAATTGTGCACACATCATTCGAGATCATTTGCAATAACTATACCGCGCATTTTTGTGCGGAAATAAAAATCCTAAGACTAAAATTTTGCGAATTAAGATTTCTAACACTAAAATCTTGCAAAATAAAATGTTAACGCTGAACCTGTCGAGATCTAAAGGCGACTAACAATCATTACCTTATAAAAATTAAAATATGGAGTTTATTTAAATTTTTCACAATTTTTATAATAGCGTGTGCCTGAATAAAGAAATATATTCAACAATTTCTAATGGAACCATACGACTTCAATAATTATGAATAAACAAATGTGAAACCGTTTAACATTCAGCGTTAATAATTTGAAGAAATTGAAATTAGTAGATCAACGTTTGCGGTTTCACTGTTCTTTAAATTTTAATCACTCATTTTTGCCATAAACGCGTAACACATCCTAGCAATATCACACAGTAGAAAAAGTGCATACCCATGCAAATATGACCGGTGTGATCGAGGACGTATCCAGAGCTGCATTCGCACTCGTACGAACCCGGTGTGTTCACGCAGATTCCGTTCAAACAGACGTCGGGACCAAGTTCTTCGCATTCGTCGATGTCCTCGCACACATGATTTTCATTATTGTACCTGGTACCACTCGGACAAATGCACTGTACATTGAAAATTACATTAAACGCGATGAATTTAATAAAACAACATTTTTAAATTAATCTCGATATTACTTTGGAATACAGTAAATTCTCCCTAATTGACGCTCTGCTTCTACAGAAAAATGGAAAATTTGGGAAGAGAAGATACGATAACTTATAGTTACCGATTGTCAACAACTATAAAAACCACAATTGCAATTGCAAAGCCGCAAGGCTCGAATAATCGTATCTCCTCTTCCCAAATTGTCCATTTTTGTGCGCAATCCGAGCGTCGATTAAGAAGAATTTACCGTATATTAATTACCTGGAAGCTGCCCGGTGTATTTCGGCACTGTCCACTGCTGCATAGTGACTCTTCGAGCTCGCATTCGTTGATATCTGTGCAGATTTTCCCCGTAGCGTCCACTTCGTAACCACTGTCGCAGATACACCGATAAGTTCCCATGAGATTCTCGCAACCCCCGTTCACACAGATGTTAGGATTCTGTGCGCACTCGTTGATGTCTGGTTCAACAAACAGAAAATTTAATTGTTTCCAATTGTAGGTGTGCGCTGCGTTAAATGTGTAATTGTTTAACAATCGAACATTTAATTATCAAAATATAATTAAGCTATTGATTCTAGGAGTATTAGTTTTATCTGTTCACCGTCTCCGTTGTAAGTCATCCCCGCGCCATGAGGGCACAGAGCATCGAATTCGCTGGTATTTGGCAGTGGACATGCTTGACAGGTGCTTCCCCAGCCCATGGGTTGTCCTAGGATCACAGTGCAACAGCAGCAACTCGATTTCGTTACGGCTGTGGACGTGGGATTCGAACATTGGCCGTCTCTGTACTGCGAGTAGCACAGGTCCCTTCTGGTATCTAATGATAATTATATATTATATAATTAAGGAGTTTATATTATATATTATTATTATTATTCTATTATATTATTATATTATTATTATTATTATTCTATTATATTATTATTATATTATTATTATTATTATTATTATTCTATTCTATTATTATATTATATTATATTATTATAATTATAATTATTATCATAATTATAAGATCGCACAAGATTTAAATAAATACAGCCGTGTTAGTTTTGTAATACAAAATATTCTAGTTGCTTTTATTAATTGGTAGAATTAGTACTAATTTATGTCGTAATATGCGAGGGCTCACCTAAGCAGGACCTTCCATCCGGTCCCAGATTGAATCCAGGGTGACACTCGCACCGGAAGCTGCCCGGGGTGTTGATGCAGCGGCCATTTTGGCACGGTCCGCTCAGACACTCGTCAATATCTATTCAAAAATCCTCAAAACATTTTCACAAGATTGTGATTGCAATTCTGATTGTAATTGTAATTGTGACGATCGTGATTGTAATTGCAATTGTAGAGGTAAGTGTAGTTGTTATCATAGTTAAAATTGTGATTGCAATTGTAATTGCAGAGATAATTATAATTGTTATTAAATTACAATTGTGATTGCAATTGTAATTGCAGAGATAATTATAATTGTTATTAAATTACAATTGTAGAGATAATTGTAATTGTTATTAAATCACAATTGCAGAGATAATTGTAATTGTTATTAAATCACAATTGCAGAGATAATTGTAATTGTTATTAAATCACAATTGCAGAGATAATTGTAATTGTTATTAAATCACAATTGCAGAGATAATTGTAATTGTTATTAAATTACAATTGCGATCGCAATCGTAATTGCAAAGGTAATTGTAATTATCATTAAATTGCAATTGTGATCACAATTTTAATTGCAGAGACAAAATTGTCAATATAATATTTAAATCGACTTTAGGAAAATGTCATTATTGTATCAAAGATTTACCAATGCAGTGACTTTGGTCCGGTCCAATTCGGAAGCCAGAGTCGCAAACGCATTTGAAAGACCCTTCCATGTTCACGCACTTTCCATTTTCACACATCCCACTGGTCGAACATTCATCCATATCCACGCAGAACGTATTGTCCCGCGAGGCAGTGAATCCTGATTGACAAATGCAGTGATACGATCCCGGTGTGTTCTCGCATCTGCCGTTCAGACATATTCTCGGATTGTCCGCGCACTCGTTGATGTCTACGAACAAGTATTATTCAAATCATCGTTATTAATTACATTCGGGGAAAAAAGTCTGGTTCAACAGTACCGATGCAAGTGTTCCTGGTAGGCGACAACACGTAGCCGTCGTTGCACTTGCAGTTGAACGATCCATTCATGTTGATGCAGCGGCCGTTGTTGCACATGCCTGTGTCTTGGCACTCGTCGTGGTCTGTGAAGAAATGATTAAAAGCGAAATTAAAACGCTTGGAGCAGGATGAAAATATTGAAACATTTTCCATAAGTGCTGCAAATGCATAATATCTGCAGTTTGATGCATGTAATCATATTATTTTCATTTTCACTTCTATTTTTATTATTATTCTACTATTATCACTAATATTATTCTTGCTATTATACTATTATTATTATTATTATTATTATTATTGTTGTTGTTGTTGTTGTTGTTGTTGTTGTTGTTACTATTATATTATTATTATTCTGTTAAATTTTTGTGGAAAAATTAAAAGGGCATCTGACTCGTTTATGCTAGCTACGTAAAATTAAGTTAGAATATGACTGAAAATTCGACATAAATTTAGTAAAATATATATGTATATAAATTCCAAATTTTCTTTTATCAAATTCTTTCTTTGTGATCCTAGTTCATTGTTGCTTTAGAATCTTTCAGATACAATAAAGTTGCTCTTGCATTTAGAAACTAATTAAAAAGGCGATTACCAGTGCAATATCTTCCCTCGCCGGAAACGACGAATCCCGGTGGGCACTGGCAGGTGAAGGAGCCCTCGTAATTTTGGCAAGTGCCACCCTGACAGTATCCCAACAGACATTCGTCGATGTCCTCGCATCGGCCGGCCTTCTTGGTGAATCCTGAATAACAGTCACACTCGTATCCGTCGTTCGTGTCGATGCACTTCCCGTTTCCGCAAATGTCCGGACGCAGCGCGCACTCGTTTATCGCTGTGATCGGCTGCAGTTGTTGCAAACAGAGCCGGTTGTAATCGCCTATAATTGAGTAACAACGGGTGTCCCGTTACAACCACCGCCTGAGACGCTGATAACTGGACCGCGCGGATCTTTGTGCGAAGTGAACATTATCTCCGTTCATTGCAAAATGCACGAACTGCACAGACATTTGCTTCCTTTTTCAATAATTTCGATAAGTTTACAGCAATACAATAATATCTAATCTATAATATCTAATAATAATAATAATCTACTAATAATCTACTAATAATCTACTAATAAATCTACTAATAATAATATCTAATAATATCTATCTACTAGCAATACAATAATTAAACGTTTTGCTATCTTGTCTTCGATTTACTGATTTTTGCCGTAAATGCGGAAAATCCACGATCTACTGATAACGGTTTCGATCCCGATTTCAATTTATTTTTTATTTCTTATGTTTGAGTTTTCAAGTGTATAATTTCGAATTATTTTTTCGTGGCCTTTCATCGGCTCGCTAATTATTTTAGCATTTTTGTAGGAGAAAGGTTTTCATTGCACAGAGTTGATGTTCTTATTAGTCGACGTACCACTTCCGGGATTAGGGCAAATATAGCACTCGTCGCCCCAGCCTCGTCCCATGTTCTTGCCGCAACAGCAATCTTTTTTGCTCAAACGCATCGACAAACGACTCCTGCATTCGCCGTTTCTGTTCACCGCCGTGTAGCACAGTCCTTGCCTTCCGTCTATTAATTAATACGCAAACATTTCGACGAGGAACAATTAGAACATTATAGAAAAAGGATTACTCTGTTCTTAAATAACATTATCACTAAGTTTACTGACCTCTAAAAGCAATTAATTCATATTAATTTATAGAAGTAACAATAACATATTCACACGACTTTTTAACGATTTTTATTACAATATTCTTTTTAACGAATAAATTTCTTCAATAAATCCTCCACGAATATATTTTTACAATACCAATAATCGGAAATTAAAAGATTTGTAACCCGCAATTTTAACAGGTAAATCTAGTGTTAAACAATATTTGTAAATATTTTCTAACTTCTTGATTCTTAATCTCACATTTTATAGAAGAATTATAGCCTTCCAGAATTAAAATAAATAAAATATCGGAAAGGGTTGTGGTCGAAGAAATTTAAACAAACTTCTAAAAAATACTTCGTTAAGTTGGAAACAATGTCGTTACCAATGCAGTATCTTCGATCCTGACTCTGAATGAATCCAGGATTGCACATGCAGTAGTAGCCACCGTTCGTGTTTATGCACCTCCCGTCGGCACAGATTCCTTCCTCCTGGCATTCGTCTCTGTCCTTGCACGCGTTGGTTTCAAGATCTCTAGCCTGGCCGTCAGGGCACTCACAGGTGAACGAGCCGAGCGTGTTCACGCACTTGCCACCCTCGCATAATCCTGGTATAGCCTCGCATTCGTTGATGTCTAGATAACATTTTTAATGAAATTAGATTCAGTTGCGAATAATACTTTATATTTTGTTGTGCTTTAAGTTCTACTGGTCACTAATGTTCCGAAAGTTAAAAAAATTCCAAGAATTCCGAAAATTCCGAAAGTTCTGAAAGTTTTGAAAATTTCACATAAAATTATTGAAACATGACAATTAAAATATTTTAGGTTCTGTTGGTCATTAATACACTGAGGATATTTGTGAAAAATAAAGATTCAAAATATAATTAATATTCGATATTTCAATCTGTATAATAATATCAAAATATTATTTTAATATTATTATATTATTTAATATTATTATAAGTAAGATAATATATAACAATAGGTAGGTTTTTAAAATTCCAAAACCTTCATAACAGGAAGCATACACCTAAAAGAAAATTATTACGTCTGTGTCTCTGATTACTATGAATTATTATGTCTTCTCTATAATAATTATATTTTAGCAGCGCCGAGAGGAGGAATGTTTTACTGCGCAAATAACAGCTAAAAGAACGATGGAAACTAGCGATTAGTAAATGAAGGCATCGCTGAGTCCTTCATATCATCGCATCGTTAGTGCTGAATAGCATAATTATAGGGGAGTAATGCTATCTAACGACTCACCGACGCACTGGCCTTGGTTGGTCTTCAAATGTCCCAGCTCGCAGTCCAGTCTGGCGGGACATCTTTCGCAGGGATGGCCCCAACCCTTGCCAACAGTCGCGCAGCACAGTTGTCTCGTGCAGACAACACCCTGAAGATTCGCCAGACACTGTCCGTTCTTCACTTTGGTGTAACATGGACCGGTTCTTTGAGAAAATACAGTGAAAAGAAATTGTTTACAAGATGTTTATTAATCGAGGACGAACTCTGCGTATCTTCTGTAATTTTTTACATTGACTGTAGATTAATTGTTAGAAGGATCGATGATACTTTTCGATGATTCAAGTTACGGCACAATAGTTACCTGTAATCTGTCTCGCACCGTCTTCCGGTGTAACCGTAGATGCAAGCGCAGCGATCGATCCCGATGCATCTTCCTTGGTTCAGGCAGGGCTCTCGACAGATCGCTGTGTCATTTAGCCAATTAATTGAAAGATAAGTAATCTAATTACATGCTGTTTATACACTGTTTATTGACAGCTCGGAACTATTCGCGAACTTTTAATAAAATCGTAACATGTGACAATCTTTTTCTTCAGCTGATGGCCCTGAAGTTTTTAAGACTAAAACGTGACACTTTTGGAAACGAGTGACTACAAAATTTTAATCAGTGTATGACCCAAATTGCAATTTATGTTTCGTGAATTCACCTGATAATTAATCTAAAATTTTGCTTTGCCTTGCACAGCTATCATTTCGTTTCATTGAGTTGAAACACTGGGTAAAAAATTCAGCGAAAACAGATATGAAAATTCGTGTGAACTCACGTTCGTTGCAGAACTCTCCTTGATATCCAGGACGACATTGACACCTTCCATCCACGCAGTTGCCATTTATACAGTGCACCCTGCATCTGCTGGATTCTCCCCTGTCTATCGCGTTGCCGTTTTCGTGTGTGGAAACTGCTCGAAAATATTTTCCTCAATTTTCACAGTCGTGCTCGGCGTCGTATATTTTCAGAGGGTAGGTTCGTCAGAGNACACCTAAAAGAAAATTATTACGTCTGTGTCTCTGATTACTATGAATTATTATGTCTTCTCTATAATAATTATATTTTAGCAGCGCCGAGAGGAGGAATGTTTTACTGCGCAAATAACAGCTAAAAGAACGATGGAAACTAGCGATTAGTAAATGAAGGCATCGCTGAGTCCTTCATATCATCGCATCGTTAGTGCTGAATAGCATAATTATAGGGGAGTAATGCTATCTAACGACTCACCGACGCACTGGCCTTGGTTGGTCTTCAAATGTCCCAGCTCGCAGTCCAGTCTGGCGGGACATCTTTCGCAGGGATGGCCCCAACCCTTGCCAACAGTCGCGCAGCACAGTTGTCTCGTGCAGACAACACCCTGAAGATTCGCCAGACACTGTCCGTTCTTCACTTTGGTGTAACATGGACCGGTTCTTTGAGAAAATACAGTGAAAAGAAATTGTTTACAAGATGTTTATTAATCGAGGACGAACTCTGCGTATCTTCTGTAATTTTTTACATTGACTGTAGATTAATTGTTAGAAGGATCGATGATACTTTTCGATGATTCAAGTTACGGCACAATAGTTACCTGTAATCTGTCTCGCACCGTCTTCCGGTGTAACCGTAGATGCAAGCGCAGCGATCGATCCCGATGCATCTTCCTTGGTTCAGGCAGGGCTCTCGACAGATCGCTGTGTCATTTAGCCAATTAATTGAAAGATAAGTAATCTAATTACATGCTGTTTATACACTGTTTATTGACAGCTCGGAACTATTCGCGAACTTTTAATAAAATCGTAACATGTGACAATCTTTTTCTTCAGCTGATGGCCCTGAAGTTTTTAAGACTAAAACGTGACACTTTTGGAAACGAGTGACTACAAAATTTTAATCAGTGTATGACCCAAATTGCAATTTATGTTTCGTGAATTCACCTGATAATTAATCTAAAATTTTGCTTTGCCTTGCACAGCTATCATTTCGTTTCATTGAGTTGAAACACTGGGTAAAAAATTCAGCGAAAACAGATATGAAAATTCGTGTGAACTCACGTTCGTTGCAGAACTCTCCTTGATATCCAGGACGACATTGACACCTTCCATCCACGCAGTTGCCATTTATACAGTGCACCCTGCATCTGCTGGATTCTCCCCTGTCTATCGCGTTGCCGTTTTCGTGTGTGGAAACTGCTCGAAAATATTTTCCTCAATTTTCACAGTCGTGCTCGGCGTCGTATATTTTCAGAGGGTAGGTTCGTCAGAGTTTTTTTTTTTTTAGCAAAGAAGAATTGTTTACCTTTGGTTTGACTACTTGGACAAAAGGAGGCCACGCTGCCACCCTCGCACAAGCAAATATTTGGCCTGATGCATCTGCCAGCCGAGCCGCATCGTCTTGTGCATACAGCTAAAGGTTCAAATTAATTTTCACATTTTACAGGAAGCATATCATCGTTTACTTAACATTTTATTTACTATAACATTTGAAAGAACCCAAAGACACTTATTTCTACAATTGAATATTTATTCTTTAATTTCACTTTGGTTAGCAACGAAAGCAATGTAAATTAATTGAAACAGTTTGTTTGCGATAGAAGAAATATTTGCTTCTTATATGATCTTTATAACTTTATATTGTATTATAAAAGTATATATTATTTTTTTTTATTATATATTAAGTATTTATATGTAAAACGAGTGAACTGCAGATCTTCATCGCAAATAAAAATGTTCTCAATCAATTGTGGAAGGATAAAAATGAAATGAAAACGTATCGTTTCTTTCGACAATTTTAATAATTTCGAAAATAACGTAACACTCTCCCCAAAATTAAAATGTTTTCGCGATTTTATATTGAATCTATACATTTCTATCGTTATAATAATTAATTAATACATATTTATAATAATAATAATATCATATTTATGACAATAATAATCATAATTATAATAATCATCGTTATAATAATTAATGAATACATAAAATGCACATTTAAAACAAACTCCCCCAAAATATTAAAAAAAAATCACGGTAGAAGTTTAATAAGAATCTCAATAAAATAGATCAATGCAAGCAACTTCTGATATTTCACGTATTCCCGAGCGTCCAAAGGCGTGAAGATCCGCAGCGTACTCGCGCGCGATAAATCGAGCTTCGAGATCGGCTGGCTCTCGACGTTGCATGACAAGACGTAATATATAGAACAGGTATCGAACTCGAGTGTCGCGTCGATACGCAACCGATCCGCGCGAGACGATGCAATCAACAGGAAGAACATGCAACAGTCCATTAAAGCAATTTCGCTCGAGGAGCGGATCGGCGATGTCGCATGAACGCCCTGTTCGTTCGCTCGCTCGCTCGCTGGTCAATTGCGCAATTATTATCATCGTGTAAAAGCGAGATCGATCGGCGATCCTCTCCGTTCCGACCGTGGTCGATCGTCGACGCGAAACGTCGAGGCGAGCTCGGAACGCACAGGCGTTTATGAGATCACGCCCAATTACAGAAGGGCCAAGCACACCGTGGAATCCTAATTGGCCTTTAATGATTCGTATACAGTAGCAGACAGAACATTAAGACGAGAAGAAGGCGAGACAGATTGATATATAAAATGCACTGTGGTTGCAAATCTTCTTCAAAATATAGACAAATTAGACGTTAAGTGTTTCCTTTAAATCGGAATCAAATTCTTCGCTTTTACTATCAATATTTGAACAATGAAGCGAAGGTTGAAATGCAATCGATATAAATTTTCTTTCTGATCTATAAATTGATAAATCTGTGACGAAGTAGCGCTAATCAACGTAATTATAGAAGAAATCGTAGTGCAAAGGGTTGCGAATGTGAAACAGGTGTCTGTGGATTTCGAAACAAGACTTTTAGACTTTTCTAGTGACTTTTTCTAAATAAATAAGCAATAATTATACAATGTGGGTAGAATTGAAATTAAAATTCATCATCATCAAATTTATAACCGCTACTGTACGGGCAACTGGTACTTACGGATCACGCAGAGCCCGGTCTCCGTCTTCTTTGACCAGCCGGGGCAACAATAATTCTTGTACCTTGACCTGCATACGTTCGGCCTGAAAAATTAGGAGCACTCATTGTGACCTTTTTTCATCTTTTCAATTTAATTTAATTTAACAATTTTTATTAGACACGTTGCTTAACGCAACATTAATATTAACATTGATATTTGCAACATGTCTGGTTATTGTTATTGCTAGAAACGCTGGGAAGATCGGAGGAATATCTCTAGGCGACCTTGAACCGTCTATCAACTTTGTTCTTGCATACCCGATCGGGGTCATGCTATTTGATACTGTCGAGCGTGTTGCAATTTTAATCTATTTAGGTTACATAACATTTGCCCTGCGGTACGGATCATCAATCATCGACACAATGGTCAAATGATCAATTAAAAGGTGGGACTTAGTCTCCTTCTGATCCTCATCTTATCTCCGTTATCTTCGAAATTCGAATTTAATGCTAACATATGACACACATTATAATCTTATTATAGTACAATTCGATGGGACCACCTTTTTCTCAAAATTAATGTTTATCCGATTACGTAATTAACACTTCATCGGGATCGAAAGTTTCCTAACAGGATCTTCTTCGTCGAAAAGCTGCTCAAGGTTCCTTATTCACTGAACAACCCTAATCGACGTTATTTAAAGATGGATCAGAAAAATGTTTACACTGAGCTATAAATTAAAATGGTTCTACATAATCGTCTAAAAACATGAATTAAAATTATTATTGCTATTGAAAAGATAACTGAAAAAATTTGTACCGTGAATCACATATTAAAATTGCTATATGCAATTAACAAAACAATGTGTCGAGAAATCTCCTACTGTGAACTACCAATAAAAATTCCTATTGCTGCTAAAAAACGAATTAAAATAGCTAGTGCTGTTACAAAATGAATTGAAATAGCTACCAATATTAAAATAATTATTTAAACTAGCTACTGCTACTTTAAAAAATGATTTAAAACAGCTGCTGCTATTACAAAGCGAATTCGAACAATCACTGCTATGGAAGATTAATTGAATTAGCTACCGATATTAACGAATTAGTTAAAATAACCACCGTCATTAAAAAAACGAATGAAAAACAACGAAACAATCGACGAGAAGCGTGTTAATGAATCGCCGACAGTGGGCTCTCAGTGGGAATAATCTCGCATCTGCCGACACACATTCTCCAATTAATTAACATTGACAGATAATTTGTTTCTGATGCGTGCCGCCGAGCCGACCCGTGATCGCGCGGGCCCGAGTTGGTTTCGCCTGGAAATCCGCGATCCGGCTGATATCAGGCTGTACAAACGAGGTCGGCCGGCGCTATCAGAAGGCGGAAACGTGATTTTTTCGCGCGGTGTCATGCCACGCGCGCAGCTCGCCGAAGAAAGAACGGGAAGAAGGGTATATGTGGTGCGCCACCTCGGAACAAGGCGGCCATTCACATTGAGCAGGCCCGTAATTAACGTCAGCTGCTATAGACAGCCTCTAAGTATTTCCACTTACGCGCCTCGGCGCCGCAAACGACGCCACGCCGACACATTCGCGCGCGTTCACAGCAATGCTTGCGAAAGTGGCCGATACCATCCCCTGAAGAACGCTGCGAAGATCGAACGGGGTGGCGATTACTTCCGGCTATACTAATGGTCGTTGCGTGAAAATTAGGAGCGATGGGAGCATAAAAAAAGAGACGATTTTGAAAAATGCATATGTTTTGTCTATTGTGTAAGATAGAATTAAAATTGCAGGGCTTTGCACTCGAAATCATCTTAACTCCAAATTGCGTCTCCAAATTTTCTGACTCGTGCAACAGTTAAAATTTTAACAGTTCTTCAAACATAAACAAGGATAAAAATTATCTTGGAATGTGATGTAACAATTTTCAGATGCATCGCTCGACTGCAAATTGTTAATTTATCTTCTTAAGGAAACAATAGACTCGCGAGGTCTAAAAATTATATTATAATATCATGAACTGTGATAGGAAAAATCAAAGACCAGTCATTTAAAATTAATTTGATAGTTCTAGCGTCGAAAAGGTGGCTGCAGAAACGACATGTACACTTTTTCGAAATTCTGTTATTAATTGCACGAACTGTTGTAATTTAATAAAATAGAATTCTACAACGATACATTTTGGCTCATTCGGTAGCTTCAATTCTGTCGTTAATTCACTTCCAAAGTATTTCTGCAGCGTACAGTTGACGAAAAAACTAGGCTCACGATTTGTCTTGCACTAAAAATATCAGAAATTGTTTGTCATCCTGAAATCTCTCGCGGAATGCTACGCATCGTAGACGCCGCTGTGCAATCTAGTGTAGGAGAGGCAGTGATTATGTTATTGCGAGCAATTTTTCCACCTAATTACAGACGTCAGGTGCGCGTAGCAGTTGCATGAATCGTATATCACCGGAATCGCAGCGTTATCGGGCGAGTAATGCACGAGTTTGCATGGGGATATCAGAACACACACGATTACCGTGTCGTTCAGCAGCTTTGTGAAATCACTTTCGTGTTGATGAAGCCGGAACAAATGTACCTGAAGCTGCACTCAGCTCAAACGTTCGGCTGGTAGCAATACCTTCGCATATTACGGTAACAACGGCATGTATTTCGAGTAAATCCGACGAAACGTTACATCGCGAAACTGTGATCGCTTTTTCGGACCAATCGCTGTCGACGAACGATTATGATAATTGGCTGGCAGGAAATTGCTAAGCGACGAAATTGTCCGTGTTTCTCGGATGAATCATGGCGCAGAAATGGCAAGGTGTCGCCGTGACGAATATAACTCGACACCCGACAGAGATTGATTCTGATCGTAGCGACTAATTGGAAGATTGTGGTTCGGCCATCGTTCGAAAGATTAACATGGCTTATTATCGCAAGGGATCACGCGATGCGCGTGAAAGTCTGTGTTGAATGCTCTCGCAGCCAATATGTATGGAGATCAGCGGCCATTCGGTTGATCGGTTCATTACCAAATTGGAAATCGGTTTATTATATGGGTCCGACGAGCGATCCGGGATCCGCAGGGTGTAATTTTCACACCTGAGGTAATGATACCCTTTCTTAACAAGCCGCCAGCCGATATCAATGACGCCAGCGTCTCGATCCGAAGCCTTCTGGCGAACCCGTGCTCTCGAAACGATCTGGACAACGTCGGATGCGCTCTTTAAACAATTAACATCCTCTGTTCGCGTACAATATTGTGCGCAGGTTATTAGTAGACTGCTGATTTAGTGTATTTAGGGCTAAAATGGAACACAGTGAGGGCATTCGTAGAATGTAAGAATCTCCTCACGCTATTTTTAATATAATGTTGAATAATATGATAGGATAATGTCAAATCTTCATTATTTAATCTTTGATTAAATAATATATAGGATAATGTGAAATCTTTGTTTCATTCTTGCTTTGAACAATTCATGTGGACAATTCTTGTTTTGCACGAAGATACGCAGTCTAGTTATTAGTTATAAAGACATATTTTATTATTAACATCACTCTATAACGATGGCAAGGCTGAATTTATTTCGACTTTCCACGATTTAGTGTAAATGAAAATGAAACGAATCTTTTATCTTTATCTATTTTATTTCGAAGCTCGATAATTTCTTTTTAAATAATAATTTCGAAAGGACTTGTTGTATTATGTTAGTCTAAATAATTCGGTAGATAATGGACGAGATTATTGTAGCTTTCGAAAAATTTTTGAAGAACGATTAACGCGTGTTGCTTCATAAGAATAACAAAACCGAATTTATTTAAACTTTTCGACGTTTCTCGCATATCTTGATGCTTTAATTAATTTCCTACGAAAGAGACTTCGTCCCTCGAACAACCCTAAAAGAATAAATCTGCAGCTTTCGTGTCGATGGAGCTATTAAAAAACCGCCAGCAGACAAAAGCTTGCGGTTCCGGCCGGAGAAGATCGTTCGCTATTTGCGATGGTACTTCGTCTATCTCTGGAACGTTTGCACGAAAACATGTGGCGCGTGAGATTTTATTAAAGCGAAACAGCCGGACAATTGAATTTTTCTGGAGGAAATGCCTTGGCGACCCGGCGCGTTCCATCGTTGTAATTCGCAAACTGTTTCGCGGTATTTGCGCTGGCGCGCGCAATAATCGAATGAACGGGCTGCGCAAACCCCGATGCGTGTCTAAACAGCCTTAGCTCTGCGGGTGTGGGTTTAAAAGTTCAATTGGAAAGTGCACTTAATGGATCTGAAACGGCTGCTGGAATGGCTCTCGTGATGGCGGATTACGGTCCATTAAAATTAAACCGATCAAAAGGCGACTGCGTTGCGCTTAAAGGTTGAGCAAACAGCAGCAGCCTCCTCCTCCTCCTCCTCCACCTTCTCCTCCCCTTTATTCTTGTTCTCCTCGCGGTTACGTCGACAACGTCATCCAGACGACGTCGACGACGAAGAGACGAGAAAACGAGGAAGAGAAAAACCGTCGTCGTCGTCGTCGTCGCCGTCGCGCGAGACCACGAATTAGGTAGAACAAACACCGAGCATTATTTACGGTTGTTTAAAACACCATCGGGAGAGATTAAGGGAGGCTATTGAGGCCAGCCAGTGTTACGAAACCGACGGCATTATATCAGCGATTATGGTGGAAATTTATTGTCCCGGTTATTATACTACTCGCGCTGATAATTAGCACGCCGGTCAACGGCTACGTTCGGCTACGAATCGGTTGACACCAGTTGCGAACGTAATTGCGACAATTGGCTCCATTGTTTACCTAGTGCACTGTCCGAGACGGACCTAGGCTAATTCACCGCGTAATGCGAATTAACGGGGAATTATCGGATTAATGACGCGAACGTCAGAAACGGGGACAGCGGTTCTGTAAACAGATCTGTCCTTTAACCCCTTTCGCCTGTTTCTGCGTTCTTGGTAATTAACTGATCGATGATGGACCTGATGAGATATCTTACTTTACACTTCGAGTTTGCAATTGGCATGATTGACGCTGGAACCATCAAGTCTGAACGCGATTACATGATTGAGGTTATTTAAACTGTGTACGATTTCCATTAG